TTATACCTATATTTGTTGTCGTATTTTTTATTTTATTTTTTTTGTGTGTTTTTTGTTTAAGGATATACTTATTAGACTTTAAATTTGACAAATTTTTTGTAGTGTTCTTGTTTGTTTTAATTTTGTATTTGACCATATATATGTTTCATTTTTTTTATATTGTGGACGCGTATTTAAAATACGTAAATAAATAAATAAATAAATAAATAAATAGCCGTCAAACATTACCACTATCATCCCTTTGTTTTTACAATTCTTTAAATAATAACAACGATAATTTTCTTCCCTTTCCAATTTGTCAAGAATTAATTAAAGAAGAAGAAAAACCTTTATTTAATTTATTTGTTTATTTTCGATATAAATATTTTTCTAATGAAGAATTAAATCAACTTGAAAATTTATTAGAATTAACAGAGGAAATGGCTATATTCTTTCCAGAGATTTTTAAAGGAGAAAAGTAAAAGGAGAAAATTTTAAAAAAATTAATTATAATTTTTTAGTTCAATTTTTAAAAACAAAAAATTAACATTTTTCAATGAGGGAATATCTCATTATTTGAATAAATCTATGAGGATGCCTTTAAATATTAGAGGTTAATTTAGTATTATTTAATTATCACCCTGTGTTCTCTTTATTTCCATTGTCTTGTGGATATTAAAAATATTCTTTTGTTTATACTTAAAATTGAAAAATCTCACCTCCTCACCCTGACAATTTTCAATTTTTTAAAGGAAAAAAGAACGAATAAAAGGAAATATTGGGAGATATCCACTAAATGTGCATACCTTTTTTACTTAAAAATTATTTTTTTAAAGATAATTCTACCAATTCAACAATATATTTAAATTTAACCCCTTTCAATGATTTATTAAAAGAAATTCAAATATTCCCTTACAAAAGAAATATTCTCTTTTTTGATATTGACGGTGCTGAATGGGATATATTTGGAGTTATTTTGAATAAAACATTTTGTGATAAATGGCTCAGAAGTTTTAAACAAATTTGTTTAAAAATAAGGTAAATTTAAAGTTTGATTTTTCTAAAATTGAGAGAATTGGGGGGGGGGCTTTATTTTAGGTAAAGTGTTATGTATAATATCTACAAAGAAAAACAGCCTCGATATAGAAACTAGTGTTTCACTGGAACCGGATCCAATTTGATTCCAGATCCCGGAACCAAAACCACTCTCTGGAACCGAAACTTTCAGTGAAACTCAATTAGAAACCTGTCGATTTAACAAACTTTTTCAATAACCCCTTTATATCGAGATTTTATATCAATATTTTCTCTAAAAAATTTTTCCAATGAAAGAAAAACTTTATTTTCTATTTTTATTTTTCCTCCATTTATTTTATACAATAATTAATCCCAAAAACAAATTTATTGAATAAAGCTTTTACTTTAATAAATAATTGCCTTTATTCTAATAAATAAATATTATTTTAAATAGAAAAAAATGAGAAATTTTTGTTTTAATTTTTTAATTATTTTTATTTTATTTTTAACAATTTTTTGTATTTTTGCATTTATTTTTACAATTTTTTTGAAAGAAAATTTAAATTAATTTAAATGTATTAATTATTTAATTTTAATTATTTAATTAATTCTTTTATTTTTTTAAAGAATTTGGGGAATGGAAGAAAGTGAAAATTGGAGAAGATTTTACCTTTGGCTTTTGCGAATAGAAGAATGTGAATTTAAAAAAACTTTTAGTTATCAAATAAATCAATCAACATTTCTAATTGTATATACTCGAAAACAAATTGTTGGTAGATAAATAAATAAATTAAAAAATTTTATTGAAAATTTATGAAATATATATAATCTAGAATAGGTAATCTGGGTAACCAATTTTAAGAAAATATATTTTAATTAATAATGTAAAATTTTTGAATTTCGAATCTCAGAGGAAGAGTTGGTGGGCAGAGGTCGATCGGAAATGACGAAGGTGCCGGAAGTCGGAAATGGCTCAAAAGTCGGAAATCAGCATAAATTTTCGGAAATCGGAAGGAAAAAACGTCGGAAATCGGAATTCCGATCGACCTCTGTTGGTGGGTATGAAAATAAAAGGAGCTCAGAATTCCATTAATTTTTATTTAAACGTGGTGGTGCTGTTAAAGGATGATTGTTGTTATTCTTTTTTTCATTTCCATGCCATGCTTTAATCATTCTATTAGCCATTGCTACATTAATTATTTTAACTTTTGTTTTTTCATCTTCCATGAGAGATTTCTTCTACAAAAAAAATTACAAAAAATTTTTTACAAAATTTCTTTTACCTCTCCAAAGAGAAATCTTCTTAAAAGTAAAATAATACATCTTCTATAATGTTTAACAACCATTAAACTAACAAAAGGATTTAACATTGGAGCCCAATTTAAAGGAAGTGTAACAAATAATTGTAATGTAAGAAATATTGTTCCCATTAAATCAGAAGAAAAAAATATAGAAATAACAGCCAACGAACTTATTAATAAAGGAAATGCTGGCAAAATAGCCTGGAAATTTTAATTTTTCTCTATTCTTCCGAATATTTTTTTAAAACCTGAATAAGAAGAGTTCTAGTAATTTGTCCATTTAATTCCCCCGAACGTTTAGATATCTCCATATGTGCCATTTGTTCAGTAATTGCTTTTCTAATTTTTGCAGCACAATAAAAAATTATTAGATAAAGGGCGCTATTGTATAACAAAAATAAAACAACCCAACTTAGAGCAATTGGATTTTTCTTTAAAAGAATATCGAAAATATTTTTCGAAAATTTAAATTACCAAATCCATATTCAAAGCAACAGGCCATTTTCCATCTTGTGTAGGCCCAAAACCTAAAATTAAAGTAACTTTTCCATCTTCTAAAAATTCATTTTCAACAGATGGATAAGTACAACTTAACAATATTGCTACAGGAAGTTGAAAAATAAATGCAGCCAACAACATGCAAAAATAGTTTTTTGAAGTTATATGAATGTCTCTTAAAAATTATTTTTGTTAAAAAAATTTTTTTTAATTTTTTAAGTTTCTTTAACTACTAATTTCTATAATATCGTAAATCCTCTATTATACTAGCTGGGATGTGCCACTTCATTTCAAAGACACATAGGTATTTTTTAACGAACGTGGAAAGCTAACTTATAATTTCTATGATTGAAGAATTTTGATGGCACTTTATTAAAGTTTAGAGGATTTACTGTGTATGAAGTATCTATTCCTTCTTTTTTTACAATTGTAATGTGAAATAAATATACAGATAGAACTAAAGACAATTAAACAAATAAGAATAACTACTAGACAATAGATTGTCTCTATTTTTATAATGGCATAAACTATAAATTATTGCCAATTTGACAAATTCCATAGATCAGAGTCAGTGAAATGTTTAAAAATAGGGTTTAAAAAGTATTTACTTGCAAAGAATTAAATATCTGTATACAAATTGAATTCCAAGTCCAATCAGTGAAAAATAAAATATTATAAACCAAACCATAAAAACAAAATGATAAAAAGGGTTAGGCAAAAAACTTAATTGTCCAATCATTATATCTTTAGCAACTCCATTTTGAACAAAAAATATCTAAGAATTTAATTTTAAATTTAAAAAATAAATTTAATTAACCGGTTGGACTAACTCTCCCATAATTAATAAAAGAATATCTATAATACATGTTTGTAATAATATTTGGCTATAAATTTGTTTTTCTTTTGGTGTTTGTTTGAAAATAAGCCAAATTAAAAGTATATTTAATGAAACACCGATGAAAAGACAAAATAATGAATTAATATGATGAGCCAAAATGAGGGCAGAAATCATTTTATTATCAGTTAATTTAAATTTTCTAAAAGTAGCGAGAAAGTTTCTAAATAAATTTTGTTGAAATTAAAAGTGAATTCAGGCATTGATGGTATGGCTGTGGGAACCAGCTCCGGAGCCGGCTCCATTCGATGCTTGAGTGGGAGTCAAGATTTAACACAAACCTTCAAATACTCAGACTGGAATTATATATTTACTTCTTAATTTTAATGTGTTCTCTATAATTAGCAATTTGTGAAGATAAAGGCGGCAATCTATACCAAGCAACTTTAAGAATGTACTTATATTTATGAATTTTATAAGAGAATTAAAGTCATGAATGTAGGGGAGGGGGTGGGGTTAAAATGCTATCTAGGGATTGGAGGAAACCATCACATTTTCAAACAAAAAGATTAAGAGCTCGTAGGTTAATTTAAAGATCGGTAAATATTTAATACATCATTTAATAATTTTTTTGAATAATTTATAAAGTGCAAGAAAATAAAAAATTCATAATATTTAAATTAAATGTTCAAAAGAATAAAAGGCAGGTGATAAATAGATGTTTAATAACCTAAAAGATTTTTTTATTTAGTATGATGTTTAGATTAAATTAGTTTTTAAATGAATTATTAAATAACCTTTCAAGTAATTTTTATTTTCAAATAAATAATTTAAAGAGAAATACTCCAATAATATTTAATTTGATTGTAACAAATTCAAAAAAAGTAATAAACTAATAATTATACCCCTTTTCTCAAAAATAAATTTTAAAATAAAATTAAAGAAAAAATTTTATATGATTTTATTAGTATATAATTAATTTAAATAAAAAAATGCCCTCTTAAATTATTAAAATGATTTTAGGTTCAAAGTGGAGAAGCGGAAATTTTACGAGAATTTAATAATTTAACAAAGTTGCTGAAATTAATTGAAACGATAGAGAAGTTTCTAAATTTTTGGGACAATTCAGGGTTTTTATTTCCCGTAGATTAGGGCCAAAGGAAATAGCATTACAACTATAAAAATTTAATATTTTAGCAATCTAAATATAATTTTTCGCTACCCAATTCATTTATTAAATATATAAAATCTATAGAATTATAAATATTAAAATTCACAATTTGATATTGGCCTGCTACAATATATACAGCAAGCAAAAAATAATTATGCTATAATAAAATTAGTATATAAAAAATTATTTCTTTCAATCATCAAACAGATATAGCAGTTTTACATAAATGAATTATTAGTGTATCAAATACATCAGTCATTCCAAAATGGGCAGCTATTGAGGCACATTTTCTATAACCACCCATACATTTCTTTAATAAGAAAAATATTTTAGGAAAAAAACGAAAGAAAAACAGCCGTGGGAAATAGAAAAATATATCTTAAGGGATATTTAAAAATGTCGGTATCGCTTAGGCAACACCCCAACAGAGCAGTTCCGATTGATTTTCGAATTTTTTAATTTTGTTTTCGAATTTTAAAAATTTTGCTTTTTTGTGGCGTTAAAAAAGAGGAATTTCGGCTCATTGGACAAATAAAATTCAAAAATTGTCATGTGCGGTTCAGAAATGGAGAACTTTCAATTTCGGGTTTTCTAAGATTTTCATATTCGAAATGGCACTGGTGGTCAACTAAATTTTAAAAAAATGCACCAAAAATTGAAAAATATCTAAAATCTTATCCTATACTAGTGAGGTCAACTCTATCTAATATAAATTCACCGTAAGAATTGTATCATCTGCGGTTTTGTTCATAACATAATGCAATGAAGCAGTTAAAGGTCCCCATAAAACGCAGAATAAATCTCGATCATTCCAACTTTGTACACTTGACATTTGCCAATAATGACCTTCAGAAGTATGACTGCGTCGCATCAAAACACGCCAAAGATAATTCTCGCGTACTTGACCTACTTGTTCAGCAGGCATTACAATTTCTTCACTTCTGAAAATTAAAAGAATTTTAAAGATTAAATTAGAAAGAAAAATTTTGATTCGGAATTTATTCTAGTAAAATAATAGAATAATTGACAGTATTCAGTAAATAAAAAATTTCATAGTATTTATTAGAGCCCGGCTCGATACGATATTTTTTACTATTCGGTTTCGACATTTATCGAAAAATGACGACCGATATGTCAACAAATAAACATTTTATTTAATAATTATAATTTTACTTTATAGCATTGTAGATTTGTTCCAGCATTTCTTGGTCAAAGTCCTTCCCATGGTTAGTTCCAGACAAATTGCGTTTGAAATCTTCCACACTAAATAATTAAAAATATTTGAAAAAATCTGGAACTTGCTTAAAAACCTCATTAATGTCTGATTTCGCCGTACTTGAGGGTTATGTTGGTCTGTGTTCAACATTAATATTGCATAGGCAAGTGTATAGGCGGCATCCACATGTTCAAATGGTTGGTTATTTGAATTATGCCAGTGTTCTTTAATTAAAAAAATAATTTAGAACTTAAAAACGGATCACAATTTTCCATAGATCCTTGGGTCATAAAAAAATAAGTGCACCCAATAATAATTTTTATAATTATTTTTGGCATCTCTCTCCCCCCACCTAGTGCCCAACCAAATTAAAGACTGGTTGTATAAAAAATACCAGAAAAATGATTGATGATTTTATCAATTTCTGCAGCATCACCAGGCAGACGGAAAGTTTCAAGAAATTGTCTCAATGCCAAATCTAATCTAAGGCCATGAAATTCAAAAGATTCAACAAAGGCACGAAGAACTTCTGGTCTCTTTCTATGACAAATATACTCGGCAATTTTACATTTTTCTAATTTTGGATTTTGACGCAACCAATTAACAACATCCTAAAAATAAGAGAAAAATATTAAAATCAAAGAAAAATTTAAAACCTTTGGATCCATTGGATTTTTCAGCAATCCCTTATCACAAAGAAATTCAACTCCTTTTTGTGGGGAATGTCTGTTGAATAAATCAGTGCCTTCAGTCATTAGACGTTTTTGCTTTTTCACACTGATTAATTCTGCCAGTGTTGGTGGAGATAATTGATTAGTTGATTCGGGTTGATTGGATATGTGACATGTAATTGCTGAGGCGGCCGTCTAAATTAAGAGATTTAATAAAGAAAAAGGAACAGGATTCGATCAGACATGCAACAAAATTCTGTCGAGGGATTTTTACAAAGTTTCGCTGTACTCAGTGTCATTCAAAGATAAGGATTCGAAAAACTAGAAGTAAATATAAATAAAAACCTCGTTATAATCTCCTTTTGATTCACTCCCAATCTTTCCCGCAAATTCATCAGTACTTAATCCATCTAAACTTCTCGCCAATGCAATGCTTCTTTGTTGTTGTTGCCGTGCAGTACAATTACGTTCAATAAAGTCAACAACAATGAGGACTGTGTCAACGGAGAGGATGTGTGTTGAAAGGAGTGGTCCACTAGGGAAAGCATTTTCCAGTAGATTTCGGACCTCAAATAAAAAAAAATAATTTTAAGAAATAATTTAAAAATTCAAACCAAATCTTCAAATAAATTCGAGCAATAAAGTGAACAATCATAATTGAGGTAAAGCTCAGAGACTAAATTAGGCAATCTCCACATGTCAACAAGCGCTTCTAATGCCAATTCTCTAAGTTCATAACTGCTAGTAATATTGTTATTATTTGTTGTTCTTCCACCTCCATTTTGTTGTTCAATTATTTTTTGCTGTTGTAATTGAGTAGGGTAGGCATTTGAAGAAATTATTTGTGACAATTTAATAAAATAAGCTTCCATTTGGAATCTACAAAAATTGGAAATTTTATAACATATTTTATTAAGATGTATAGCAAGGCCGATGTAAATCAGAAGATAACTTCTTGAATCTTGTCAAATCGGAGAAGCATGAAATGGTCTGATAATTTTAAACAAAGCTAAAGCCGGGTGGCAGGCCCGTAGCCAGGGGAGGCGCAAAAAAGTGAATTTTCTTGGCCAATAGACTTCTAAAATTCTCAAAATTTTTGCCTGCGGCGCTAAAAATTAGAATTTTTGTCGCCTAAGGCGACAAAAATTCGGCGTAGAAAAATTTTCACATATTGGCCTCCGAAAAAATCCTGCTACGGGCCTGCCGTGTGGTATATTGAACCTGTTACAATTACATGCTCCCCGGTTTAATAAGAAAATGATGGATCGTGGAAGATCATCACATTTAAGAAATAATTTAAAATTAAAAACTAACTTTAAATGTGGTCTAAGAGTTTCAAATAACAAAAAACACACTCTATTAGTAGCAGCAAATATTTTTAATTTTTGTGTTCCCAATAATTGTAAAAGGGTATGTGACAATTCATCTTCTAATAACGGCAGAATTGAATCATTTTCTCTAAAAAATTCATTTCCAGTTTCGAATGCAACAGTTAAGAGGTGAAGTCCCATAAGGATCATTTGAGGAAGATTTGTGCGATCATGTGGATTACAAAGAGCAATTAAAAATCTTTTAAAAAGTAAAAATTATGAAAAGGAAATAAAAAGTTTAAAGGGAAAAATAATTTTTTAGAGTGTTCAGGTTTAAATAAATACTACAACTATGAGCCAACAAGACAAATTTGTTGAATAAAAAATATTAAAATTTAAAACCTCATAAGTTCTTTTAGTCCCATTCTTATATCTTGTTCAAATGTTGGCATTGCAGCAAATAAATGTCTACACATATCTGCCAAAGCACTTTCTGCAGCAACACGTAAAAGTTCAGGCAATAACTGCTCAAGGCCGATACGAAAACAACATTGAAGAATTTCGCAAACTGTTGCATTGCTTAGATGTCGACCTCCCGGAGATAAAACCAAGGAACGGAGGGTCTAAAAATTTTTTCGAATAAATTAATTGAAAGAAAGAAACAAAAAAACAAAATAAAAATAGTAGAAATTATAAAAATTTTGAAAAAGAAATATGGAAAAACGAAATCACTTAGACTTCGTTATGAAAAATCTAAATTTGAATAAACCAATTTTACTGATTCCAGTAATTTTGAACCCTTTAAAAAATGAAAAAGCCAAGGCAAAAATAATGAAGTTAGAATTAAGTAGAGTAATATTGAACCGGACAGACCCCTTTTTTCCTTCCCAATTTTCCCCCTATATCTTTGCAAAATGGTCAAACTTTTTCCTTTCTTCCATCCAAATTGCTTTTCTAACTTTTGCCTACAATCAAACAAAAAGGATTAATTAATTCCATTCAAGTGCAAGTACATGCCAAAAACAAGTCAAAGGAGGAAAAGTATAGGGGGAAATTGGGGAGGATAAAAGAGTCTGTCAGGTTCAATATTACCTTAACAATAAGTAAAATTTCCCCCAAAAAATTATTTTTTCTAATTGACTAAAAAACCTGTAAAATCTGAAAAAGAACACACTCATCAATTCCAGCCTTTGAAGTACCAATAAATTTAGCTTTAGTCACAGCGTCAGAAATTGACTGAACAGCACCAGCTATTCTTATACTTAAAAATTAATTTTTTTTAATTTAAAACTGTGTAGAAAACAAACTTGCTGAAAGATAATAAACCATAAGAAATAAATTTTTCAATTGCAGAAAGTGCTCTAGCAGTTATGGGCCCGTCAGTAGCATCTGATTTTATAACTTCAAGGAATGGGCTGATAAATGTGTCAAATTGGATTTCACTGAGGTCGTTAACCTAAAAAATAAATTTTTAAACTGGCAAAAATTATTAAAATAAAATTTTAAGAATCTCAGAAAAACAAGACGATATTTAACAATTTTTTCTTTTCAAAATGGAATATAGAATTTGTAAAGTTTGGGTTTTCAAACCTTATTCAAAACATCTCTTAAATCAGCAAAATTCCTCAATAAAGGATTGTGTTCATCCAATAAAGGAAGTTGTTGTCTTGTTTGTGATCTTCTGAATTTACGTAAAAGAGCTAGTACAGCATTTGCCTCTCCCTGAACAACATATAAACCATTTACCAATGCCATTTAAATTTATTAAAAAGAAATCTTTAATAGAAATTATCTAAAAATAAAAATTAAAATGATTTTAAATTAATTTAAATTAATTAAAAAATGTAATTAAAAATTTTTTAAATTTTTTTAAAGTTTTTAGTGAGTGATCAGACTTGACCCAACAAGTTGTAAAAAGGTTACTAATTGAAAGATGATATACATAACTTCAATCGGATTGTGTAAACTAAAAAAATATGCCGTCAAAGCTAGCTGGCAATTATATACTCAACCGTTCCGTTGTTTGGGGTAAGGGACTATTCAGAGTAGCCGATTCAGAGTACGGGGAAAAGGGGATGATTCAGAGTACGAAGAATAAAATATCCTAGAAATCGAGATTTTTGGAATGCAATTGTTTTATTTTTGCTTTTTATTCTTTTTTTGTTTCCTTTTATTGTTTTAGAGAGATAAACAACAATTTGCACAACCAAAGGCAATTATTCAATGCCACAAATAATTTTTAATAAAAATTTAAAATTTTTAAAATTTCTTTAATTTTTCGGTTTTGTTTATTAAAATGATGAAATAATGTTGTTATGCTATAATGGCATAAATAATCTGTAAAGAAACATTAAAACAATTAATTGACTTGAATTATGTCAAAAAGCAAGACTCTTTTGTCTTTACATTTATTTTCAGTCTCAGCACAAACCTAAACCTTTAGGCTTGCTTGTCAATAGAGTCTCGGCGACTTAGCATCGAAAAGCCTTTTTCTATGCCATAACTTTTTTTATTTCGATCATTTCCAGAAATTTTCTTTATCAATTAGAATCTATGATTGTTTTTATTCTTTTTATTAACTTTATGAAAGGATCCGATCATTTCTTAGAAAGTTACACACGCCTAAGTATGTTAAATCACGATTATTCGCAGTTAACGGCTCCTAACTTTTTTTGAAAGACGGTAAAACTAAACAATTTCTATGAAAAAATAACCAGCACATTCAGAGCTTTTAATTAAGCAAAAATTATTTGGATTGATTTAAAAACAAAAAAGTTATATCCCAAAAACTTTCGTTTTGATGCCAAATTTTAAGACTCTTTCGTTACCTGGTTACTTTTAGCCTAAACCTTTTGAAGCCTAAACCTTTAGGTTTTTGAACATTTGAGTCTCACCACGTCTTCAATTTTTTTAAATTCTAGCTTTTTTAATCGTTTGTTCTTCTTAATTAGTGTGTAAAGATGAATCAGAACTGATATTCTGGCATTAGAAATCCCATAAATTAAGAATCACATAGATAATTTTTGAATTTATTTATGAATTCCTTGTAGAATTTCATTCCTGGATGGAATGGAAGCGATGTTGGAATTTCGTCTTCGCTACACGATGGCCGTGCTTCGCTCGACATGCCCGGCTTCCTCCGCAGCGGCAAGACTTTTTTCCGCGAATCGACCTTTTCCCTTGCTTCGCGACGGCCCACTAAATTAGCCTTGAACACTTTGTCGCAAATCTTTTTTTCGCGAGGGCTTAAATTTTCCTTTAACCTTATCCATTCTTCATTCAACTAGTTGTTCCAACTTTTGTGAAAGATGCCCAACAACAATCAAAGTTATTCCAAAAAAATTTTTTATCTAGCTACTTTCTGTTTTTGCTACAAAGCGACCACTACAACGTAATGCGACAAAACTTCCGTCTCCCCGTTTTTAAGTAAGGGATTATTGAGTCCCACCGGTTGAGTTCTGTGGCCATATTTTGGGCCATAACTTTTTGGGGTTTTAACTAATTCGAATAGATCTTTATCATCTGATAGTACTGAATGGAGGATTATTTTCACCAACTTGATTGATTTGATCAGACCATCCTACAAAAAGTTACATCTAGATAAGTGCGCGAAATCGTGATTTTTGATGTTTATTAGGCTGTAACTTTTTGATTGTTGATCTGATCAGATCACTCCTGTTAGATAAAATAATCCTTATAACAAGTGCTTTTGTTTGATATGTTAATTATCTAAATCAATTAAGAATTGAAAAAGTTATGGCCCAAAATATGACTCCGGGACTCAACCTGCGGGACTCTATGATCCTTCTCCTCCCGGTTTTTGCTTTAAGTTTTTCATTAACTTTGTTTATTTTTTTTGATTTTTTACGCTTTTTACAAGTTTTTTTTCTTTTAGATTTATCAAATATTTAAGTTAAATTAAAAGTACAAAGTTGAAATGCCTCGTGAGATTACCGATATTAAGGTTTTTCATATTATTTCTTTAATTTTAAAATTTAATTTTTAAGGAGTTTTTATTGACTGCTCGTCGAAAGGATGCAAAGTCTGTCAAGATTAAGAAGAATAGGGAGAATACCAAATTCAAGGTTATTTTTTTCAATTACTAACATGAGTAAACTTGCAATAGCACCATTGATAATTGGCAATTTCAAAAAGACTTGATCTTGATCCTTTTTTGGTTTCATCCGCCGATATTAACCAGTTAGGAAATAACGTTTTCCCCCTTAGCTCTATAAGGATCTGTAGAGCAAAAAGCCTATCTATTTGACACTTTCTTGAAAAGATTTTTTAAATCCTTTTTAATTTTTTGACTTTTTGATTGAGTGGACACAGCAAAAAAGGGAACTGTAAAGAGTGTGGAATAAAGCTGGGCAATCCCGGAGAATTGGGGTCCCTGCGGAAAAAAATCTTAAAAATAAGAAAAAGGATTTTTCTAGGGTAAAAAAATATGCTGATTACGAATCCAAGCTCAGATTTTGAAAAAGTCGAATCCCGAACCCGAATTCGGACTTTTGATCCCGAACAGGATTTTTGACCCCTAACATTACAGACATTGTACAAAATGGCCAGTCTTTCAATAGAATCATAGAACTCATCGAGCTGTGTCGAATGACACCAAAATCAATGTCCGACCGGATTGAACCGAGATACAGACCCCTAAATATTGAAAAACCACATGGGTGATTTTTTTGGAGTAAAAAAAAGTTTTTACAAATGAAAGCTCATTCGAAAGAGCTCGTCGAGCTGAATCGAATGACGCCAAAATTACAGTGATTGATCAAGTTTTGACAAAGTTATGACATAAGTCGCCGACTCCTACAGTACTCCCATAGGTATACTTTATGTCATAACTTTGTCTAAACTTGTCCAATCACGTTGATTTTGGTGTCATTCGATGCAGCTCGACGAGCTCTTTCGAACGAGCTATCATTTGTATATTCGAAATTCGGGCTCAGGGTTCGAAATTTGGTTCGGGTTCGGGATTCGACTTTTTCAAAATCTGAGCTCGGATTCGTAATCAGCATATTTTTTTACCCTAGAAAAATCCTTTTTTTTATTTTTAAGATTTTTTTCCGCAGGGACCCCAATTCTCCGGGATTGCCTAAAGCTGGGCATTATTTTCAGTTTCTTCCCACGCGTTAAAAAATTTTTTTATTTTTGATATGTTTAGTAAACTTCAAATTTTTTCGTTTGTTTTTATCAAACATTCCACCAGTCCAATATCAGGGCATTTTTCTGAGTTCCTTGACTTTTCGTGTCTTTGATTTTTTCCTGTGTTAAGCTCAAAAATCTGATCGGCAGCAAAATTAAATTGTTGGATCGAGATCAAATTTGTTTGATTATTCTCGCAGTTTGACTAACCCTACCCATACTTGACTTTTTTTTAATTTTATTCTAACAATAAATATAAAAAGAATATACAAAAATTAAATATTTTGTAGGTTCGCTGTAGCCGTTTCCTCTACACTCTTGTGGTGGCAGACAAAGACAAAGCGGACAAACTGAAACAGTCGTTGCCTCCAGGTCTTCAGGTTAAGGAACTTAAATGAAAAGAAAAAGATAAACAGGAGTTTTTGGTATTTCGGAACGTTTTTATGTTAAATTTGTTGATTAAAATCGTTTGATAAATGTTAATGAAAAAAATAATTTTTATCATTCTCAATTAAGATTAGGTTAGGATTGCTCAAAATTTTGTTCAATTTAGCTCAAAATTAGAATTCAACATACACTCCGCTTAATAATAGTGAAAAAAATCATTTGAGAAAACGAATTTTCCCCGAGATATCTTAAGTTTAAGGAACTTAAGTGTTAATTTAATTTTTCTCATTCTCAATCAAAAATTAAAATTCAACAGAAAAAGAATTCTGTAGGTGTAGATAAACTTGCATAAATAATTTTTAAATAAATAAACAAACTACATTTATAGTTTATAAAAATGTAATCATTAATATTTTCTAATTTTTATATACCAAACAAAACATAATCTTTCAAACAAAAGTAACAAAAATACTAAATTTGTTAATATCATTGTATTTCTTATATGCGTGACCATTGCAAAGGATTTCTTTGCATTTACAAAAGATTTTATTAACCAAAAAATATACTACAATTTGAGAGATTTTTCTGTCATTTTCTAATTAAAATAAAGGCGGAGTAAAAAATAATATATTTTATTTTTGTTTTTATTTCAATTTTTTCAATTAAAAAATATATTTTTTAAAAATTCTATTAATTAAAGAATAATGAGTGGAAACAAAAAGACGGTTTTTTCTTTAAAAAAAATTTTTTTTTAAATTAATTCAAATTTAAAGCTTTTTGATATTTATGGGGACAATGGCCTTCCAATTGATTTGGTTATTTTAAATGTTATAAGAATTGTTTTTTCAACATTTGGTATATTATTTAATGCTTCTCTAGTTTTTGTTACAGCAAAGACAAAGTTTGTAAAATATTAGATTAAATTTGGGCTAGATAAAGGGTGGGGGTCGGGAATTTAAAACTTGAGTATTTTTAAACGTAAATTTATTTCTAATTATTTTATCAGTTTAACGATATTAAAATATGTTATTTAGATCATCAAACGAAATTTTCGTAACATAAGGTGTATTGCTTTGTAGGGAATACCGTATTCTCCCCTAATAAAATACTCTTACGTCTCGAGAAAAATTACAATAACTGCCATTATTTTAGGGAAAATACGTATACCATTACCGTATAGCCGTATTAATTGCCCTCTCTCAAATAATTACTCCACTTCTATTAATTACCCCTCCAGCGATAGATAATAATTACCCCCAACAAATGCCCTAAAACACGTTCAAATTTCAAACCTCGTATAATTACCCTCCCTCGATTAATTCCTCCAGCGGAAGGTCGAAAGAATAATTACCCAGGGTAGTTATTAAAGGATATACGGTATGTATAATAGATAAACAGATTTAAACCATAATCCTATAAACTACAAAAAATTGTCTAGTATGGCAAAAGTATGTCACAACCAAATTTTTTATTTTTTTAACTACATACATACAGTCATCGACATAAAGATAGGGGCAAGTGTAAATGAAATGAAAATTTACTATTTTTCAGTCAAAAAATACGTTCTATATAGCAATCGAAAGCTCTATTCGTATCTCAGTTGACATGTTTCTGCATTTTTCATGAAATTGAAAATTGGCCGAGATAATCCGGATCTTCCGGATATACCAAATCCCATAATCTCGCAAAAATTTTTCGGAAAAAATTTAACAAACCCATTTGATAAAGAATATTTTTGTGAGTATTTACCAAAAGACCGCTTAGAAATATCTTTTTCCTGACCAGAGATATGATTTTTTGAAAATAGCATTTTTCCCTTAAAAATTGAATTTTTTGCAAAAATAGGCGAAAAATGCCATTTTCAAAAAATCATATCTCTGATCCGGAAAAAGATATTCCTAAGCGGTTTTGGGGCAAATACTCAGAAAAATATGCTTTATCAAATGGGTTTGTTAAATTTTTTCCGAAAAATTTTTCCGAGATTATGGGATTTGGTATATCCGGTAGATCCGGATTATCTCGGCCAATTTTCAATTTCATGAAAAATGCAGAAACATGTCAACTGAGATACGAATAGAGCTTTCGATTGCTATATAGAACGTATTTTTTGACTGAAAAATAGTAAATTTTCATTTCATTTACACTTGCCCCTATCTTTATGTCGATGACTGTAATTAAAAAAATTTTTTTATAGAACTTTAAAATCCTCCTGTCATTTATTAATTGCTTTTGATTGTTTGGTTTCTTCTTTTTATCAAATAAATAGTTGGTTATCAATTACTGTTATATTTAATGTTGGAAACCAATTCCTTCAAATTCGTCCTTGTTGTCTTGAAATGCTTCCAGCATTTTTATTTGGATTTACAGCTTCATTTATTTCTACTTACTTAATTTCATTTGACAGACTGCTTAGTGTACTCTTCCCTATGTGGTCAGTTTACGTATTTTATCCTCCCCCCTACAACTACTTTTCCCTAGATTTTAGCTACTTCCAAGATTCCTTATTTAACTTAATTTTTGAGTAAGTCTTGTAATCGGTGTTTGATCTGTTAGTTAAAATATTTTAAAGCTCTCAAAATTTCCGTTAATTAATTCTCAAAAATTATGTTAATCTTTCAACTACATTTTATTTTTTTTTGCAAAAAAGGCTAAAATTCAAATTAATTATTTTTTGTTGCTATATTTATTTTAAAAACAAAGAAATAATTTTTAAAAAATTAAAAAGAAATATTTAAATTGCAGTAGAAACAAACGAATTCTAAATTTAGGCATATTGTCTACTTCCTAAAAAATTTAAACAATTAAATTTAATAAATAAATAATTTTATTGTTTTATTTTTATATAAAATTTGGAGTTAAAAAATATTTTTAATTTAAATTTAAAGGTATACTAAAAGAGAAAAATCAAAAAAGGGATATTTAATATCAATGTTATTTTGTATAATTATTTGTCATTCATTTATTGCTTATAGTGGTTATCAAATAATTTTTACAGTTTCAGAAACAAAGTTTTAATAAAAATAAAATTAATATAAACCTTTAAATAATTTTTAAGTAAAGTTATTTGTGCCCCACATGAATGTTTTTGGGGTTGGGCAAGTGATTTAGTTTATGTAATGTTTTCCTTCTTTTATGTTCTTACATTTATTAATTATGTAATTATTTGGATAATGTTGAGATGGACGGCAAAAAATAACCAAAATCAAGGTGAATACCTCGTTTTCTGAATACCGCCCCAGAGGTTTTAAGGCTATGGGTTTATTTTTAAGAATTATTTCTGTCTGGTCTTGATCTGTCAAACTCAATGAGTTTTTTCTAAAAATTTAGTACAAGACGTTTATATGTATCTAGGTATTAAATTATATCTAGGCTAACAGGTTATTAAAAAAATTATACAAAATATGTACACAACTTTCTCTCATTTTTCTCTCATTTTTTAGCAAATGCCTGGGCTTTTCGTATTCTGAAAACATTATCTGTCTTAATGATACTTAATTTGATTGGATTTTCAATGAATAGCATTGTCAGATTGACAGTCCCTCGTTTTGAATTAGATGTTACTCAAAGGACTATTTTAATTCACGCTTTGAGCTGCTTAACAAATTTAGTTATGGCCTCTAATGCTCCAATACTTTTTATTTTCAAGTTTTTTGTTTTGTAAAAAATCATTAAAATTATTTTTAAAATTTTTTAGTCAAGACTATAGACGAGCTTTTCAAAAAGTTTTTAATTTGAAAAAATTTTCTGTAACGTTAATAACGGCTGTTGCCATAACACCTAATGATGTTAAAAAATGCACACCAAAGAATATTAACAATAATAACAAAAATATGCTTACTCCAATAAATTAAACAATTTTTGGATTTATTAAATATATTAATTTCATTTTAATTATCCTTAATTGTTTAATAAATTTCTGAAATTTTATTTAATTTCTTATTCATGTTTAAAAATCAAAAATGATAAAAAATCAAACTGATTAAGTAATTTTTTTAAGGTTAAATCTAATGAAGATTGAAAGAAATATCGATAATTTTATTTTAAATTTTATTAAAATTTAAATTTTATGTATATTTTCGTTAGGGTTCGATTAAATTATTATCCCTATAACTAATTCTATTATTCTAGTATTTTAATTATTTACTACATTAATTCAAAAAATTTTTCTATATTTGTATATATTCAAACAATTTTAATTAATTTATGATTCTTTGTTTTTCTATTTACAAAAATAAAATAATTAGAATAGGAATATTCATTACTTAATACATATATTTAACTGGGAACGAGCTGTTCTGATTCCCGAAAATCGGGAATTCCCGACATTTTTGGGTCGGTATCCTGATTTACCTAAATGAATTTTATTTTTATGTTGGCTTGTTCCCTGATATGTACTTATGTATACATTCTAGATTTGGAATTGTACTCACAGGTCCTGCAAAAAAATTGGAAGATGATATTACTACTCTATAACCGGATATATTCTTTTCTTCTTAAATTTGTTTAAATTCAATTGTTGGGGTAACCGTTGCTGTCATTGAATTTCTTTTATTTTTATTTTCACCATCATTTGACAATAAATATTCTCCAAGTATTTTAATTAATAATTGTCCTGTTGGAGCAGTAAATAAAATACTTAAAATACATGTTTGTAAAATAAATTGAGAATTATTTTTAGCTAGTAAATTGCTGAAATCAAAGAGAATTGGAGCTAATGCCGCCTAAAAATATTTTTAATATTTAAATCTAAGAAATTCCCAATCCAAATAAAAATACCTGAACAGTTGCCTTAGGAATAAAAACTGACGAAAAAAATAATTTTTCTTTTAAATTTAAATTTTGATTAAAATTTGTAATTAAAAATACAATTAAAATTCGAATAATTAAAGCAATTAAAATAAAAATAATTGAATTACAAAAAATAATAAAAGTAAACTTGAAAAGAAAAATAAATTAAAATTTATTTTAATAAACAAACATTTGAGAAATTAAAAAGTAAGCCAATAAGAGAAAATAAAAGAGGAAGAAAAATTAAATCCCAAATTAAACAAAGAGCTTTAGCTTCGGGTCGAGCCTGAGTTTAGAAAAATAAAATTATGTCAGAATTAAAGTAAAATATAAACCCTTTTTGGATTATCATTAGCCCAACCAAAAGCTGCCAAAAAAGCTGTCAACAAAACAGCTATAGGCCCGCTGACTGATAAATGTAAAGCTTCCAATCCAAAAAACAAAGCAGTTGAAATAAAACAAAGAAGAATTGTACGGGAAAAATGTAATTTAGGGGAAATTTTGTCGTCAAAATTGGATATAGGAATATTTCGAATTAATATACCTAAATATTTGAATGAATTTATGTAATAATTAAACAAAAATGTTTGTGGTTTTTTAGTCTATTAAGTTTATAAGGTTAATTAGGTATTTACTCTAAAATTCAAAATCCTATAGAATTCCCAACCATTTACTTTAAATTTATCACACTTTATTATAGAGTTATTTACCAAAAAATCCTCCAAGTAAAAGGCCAACCAAAATTTGTATTGGTACAAAAATAAGTTTAGTTAAAATTTCCTCTTAAATAATTTAAAAATTTAATTAAATATAATAATCAAAATTGATTAAAAATAGAAATGTTGGCAAATGCGATATTAAATTTAAGGAAGAATAAACGAACAAAAAATAAACAATAAACCCCCTCCCTTTATGATCTCTATTCTCATAAGAGTATATCTCATAGTATATCGCATACGATTAAATTATCCTCCTCCCAGTTTTTGGTTTAAAAATTAAACCTTTTGATGAAGAAACAATTTCATAAGCTATAGAAAAAGCAGAAATACAAAAAATATTATCAATTAAAGCACTAAATATTTAAATAAAAATATATTTATTTAAATAAAAATTAAATTTTTAATTAATTACCTAGCCAAAACAATTGTTGGAATTCCTTTAGACGTCCCTTTATGTTTATGTTGTAATTCAATCATTGTTGGGACTGTTACTGCTGGGGAAGTGGAAGCTAACACAAAACTTTAACAAAAAAATCTTTTTCTTATTTTAATTTTTGAAGAAATACCCAAATAAAATAGCTACAGAAATATCAACATTAAAATAAAAATGTGAAATAATTATAATTGAAGCAACTTCAATAAATGTTGTTAAAAGTCCAAGACTTGAACAGAATAACTATAATTAATTTATTTAATTTTTAAAAAATATTTTCTTTTTTTCTGACCATTTCTTTACGTAATACTTTTGGATTAAGTCCAAAACCACATCGAAGAAGAATTAACAAAAAAGCAGTCTTTCTAAGAAGAGTCCCCCAACTTTCTCGAATATATAACCATGGAAAGTTGGCAAATAAAATGCCTACAAGAAGCATTCCTTAAATGATTTAGGACATAAAATTTATTTAAAAAATTTTAATTGCCTAAAAGAGGGGGCATTCTTGCATAATATGCAGCCTTTCCAGCAATTAATGCTGATGCCCATAAAAAGAAAATTGAAAGAAAATTATTTTTAATTTCTTCAAAAGAAGAAGAATTAATATTTATTTGTTGTTTATTTAATTCTGTTTTGTTTGTTTTATTATTTTCTGGAACAAACGGAAACAAAAATTGTCTGTGTAAAACAGAAACAAAAGTTATATATAAACAAATTAAAACAATAAATGATGTAATTAAGGTGCTGATCTACAAAAAATAATTTTTTTGAAAATTTTATAAGAGAATATTTTTGTTTTCTTACTTCTTTTCTAAGCTTTAAATTCTTCACAAATGTCAAAAACATAATTATTTAGGCAATAAAAAGAATAAATTAAAAATTAAGAATAAATTTAAGGATTTTTAAAAAATATTTTGGACAATAATTTAGTTAAAAATTAAATCAGAAAAATATCCCATCATTTTATTTATTTCTAAAATGTAATCAATCAATCGAATAAAAAATATATTAATTTTTATTTGAAATTAAGAGGTTTAAATACATTGCGCAAATGGTTTTTAAAAACGTTGAAAGAATAATATTTTTCAATTCAATAAATTTTAAATAATTGTAATTATATGTATGTATTTTAACCACAGAATTAGGAAAATCGTCTTTAAAAATAAAAACGGCATCGGAAAGGTATTTATAAATAATTAAAAAAATAATTTACATAACTTAGTTAATTTTAATTTAGTACAAGCGACAATCCACATAACTAAACTCTTAAACCGAAAATGGTTCCTATCTTAAATATTTTCGATAACAGAAATACTTTCTTGCATTTTATCGATATAGGATATATTAAAAGAGATCACCACAAAAATATATTCTTTATCATTTAAAATCATAAATTTTATGAAAATACAAGTAATATAAAAAATGAAATTTTGATATATAAGAAATGCTTTTATTTCAAATTTAATTTTATTTATCAAAAAATTATTTTTGAATAAAAAGCATCTCTTTTAGGATTTTATAAAAAATTTTTCACTTTTATTTAATAGGGACAAGGGGTGTTGGGGGTATTTGACGAACTTCTAATGGATCCATAGTTAACGAGGCTGTCACATTTGTCCAATTACATTTTTCAATGCCAACCAAAGGTAAATTAAAAACAGCTGTGTTTTGACGCCCATCAAAACTTGTTAATTGTAGTTTATATACTCCAGTCATTGATTTGGCCAAATCCTGAATTAAATTGAAATTTGAATAAATTGAAATGAAAAAATTGTATGGTAATAGTATGTACAGTTTTAATTTATCAATAGTCTAAGAGAAGTTCAACGTCCTTACAACAATATGATAAAATAAATTTTATTTTTTTAATACCACCGTTCGTTTATGGGCTTATTATCATTCAAACATACATATCATATCTCTGATATGAAGTGTCATCTGTAAACTGAGTAAGAAATTTCAGGTTTCCCTTTTACAAAACACCTCAAATTTATTCTCTTTCTTTAAAAAAGCATACATATGTATAATTTTGGGGAAATTTTATTTTAGAAAATCATTAGGTAATTAAAATAAAATTTACTTTAATTTCACAGCTAAATTTGTCTCTTTGCCCATCTTGATGTTCCTGACTAAAATTATATACTCCAGTCTCATTAGTTATTTCTCTGTCCCCAAAGAACCATTTTGCAAGGGACGGATCAGCATGGCTAGCTATACATTCGAGAAATACTTGTCCAAGACTTGTATCTGTAGCAGTTGCACTGCGACTTAAATTTGGAGGCTTTAATGGTCCGTGTCTGATTTGGGCGTTGTGAACGATTGGAGAAGGCATTTTTTGATTAAACTTAGTTTAAAATCTGTTAAATGAATTAGTATTAGAGGTTGTGATTTTAATATATTCTAAAGGGGAATTTAAGAGGAAAATCCTGTAGAATGAAAAAATCCTCGAATGATTTGAATAAGTTCTATTTAAATAAACAAATATATGAAAATATCAGATTCTTTAAATTGACTTTACCTCCTTAAATAAAGAATGAAAACTAAGGTCATATGAATATAGAAATGACTACTCAAATTCCATAAAGTTTTTAAATTAAAAAAAGAAAGCAATAAAGAATTGTGTTTATTACGCAATAAAAAATGAACAGCTGCACCCCCCCTCCCCTCTTGAAAAGCTTTTGAATTTATTCCTTGATCGATCAAAAAAGAATTTTTTTAAAAGATGAACACCGTTCGGTTAAAGAGCAACACATCTGGTTATTTTTATCCTTTATTTTTTTTCCTAATGTTCACATTTGTCTCTTTAAATTTTTTGTTTGTTAAAGAGAAAATGGGGGATAGTGCAAAGAACTAATAATGAATAAAACGGCTGTTGATTGTTTAATTTTAAATATTTTTTATTAAAAATATTTCAATGTTATGACATAACAATTTAATAATTTTCAAGATTATTACATAGATAAAAAAATTTAAAAAATCTTAGAATTTTGTAACTAAGTCTTATAAAATCATAAATAATTCTAAATTTAGATACAAATTGAAGAGCAAAGTTTGTTAATTGTATAGTGCTTCGATGATAAAAATGTCAAATTTACTTATGAATTCTCTTGATTCGTCTACAAAAGTGTTACCGGTTTCAAACTTTAAAAAAATAGAAAACATCATACTCGGGTCTGCTGTTCATCGAATTCTCCTCGGCAGACATAATTTTACAAATTAGAATTTCATTGACTCTCTCACTAGAAGTTAAAATAAAAAACATTTTAAATTTTACTTCCTTAACAATTAAAAAACAAAAACTAAATTAAAAATAAATTTCAAATAAAAATTAAAAAAAATAAAATTCTCATTTAATTTTTTATTATTTTTCTATAAATTCTTCGCAAATTCCTTTTTACTCATTCATTATTCATGCGCAACTATTTTAACTCCTTTTATGGCCGTTCCAACGCAATTTTCATTTGAACTAGGAAGGGAAAAGGGAAAGGGATTGATTACATTTTTATGCTCATCGTCATTCTTTTTTTCCCAATTAATTTTTCTTGTTAATTGTTCGAAACTTTTTTTAGAAAATATTTTTTTATTATTTTTAATTAGTAATGCTTCTCAATAGTTGAAATTGGCTGTAATTCATTATCCTTGATTTTAAAAAAATCTAAGGGAAAGTTTTTACCATAATAACTAGAGTCCGGATTTTTATTGAAATAAATCTTTTTTTTGCAAACACACTTTGTCGAGAGGAGCCCAAATATGGTATTAGTTTTTCGATATTATGATTTTGAACAAAGCTGTATTTCAATATATTTCAATATTTTGACAATTTTCCCGTTATTTCAATATTTTGTACTTTTTGCAAATTATTTCAATATTTTTGCATATTTTTACCAAAATTTTGGTATTTTTCATAAATTTTAGGAAAAAAGTGAAGAACTTTGGCTTCTTGACCTTACAAAAATCTAAAAATTTTCGCCTGCGGCGCTAAAAAAGGGAAATTTGACTTATTCTGGCAAAATCGGCCAAAAAATCGGCAAAACAGCGTATATTGAAGCGGGCGTCCCCAGAATGCACCCTGAACAAAAATCCCCAAATTGTCCCGCTGAACCAAACTCCACAAAATGTCTCGCAGAAGATAATCACCAAAATGTACCTACGCTAATTTTCGGGATTTTTTGTCAATATTTTGGCAGTTTATTTCAATATTTTATGGCCATATTTGGCGAATTTATTTCAATAAAAATCCGGACTCTAATAATAACATACCAGGCGAAATTTTTCGGTTATCTACGAATAACTGCAAGTAGATTCCTATAGTAAATTGTATCTTCGAGAAGTTTATTTTTGCAACAATTTTTCTTTTGTAATAAATAGGGTCCGGATTTTTATTGAAATAAAATCGCAATATATGGCCATAAAATATTGAAATAAATGGGCAAAATATTGACAAAAAAGGCCAAAAAATTGTGAAATATTGAAATAAATTATTGTTTATTTAGTAGTAAAACTCAAAAAAAAGGTTAAAATTTTACAGAAAAAATTAATAACGCTCTTAAAATTTCACATTAGCTTTATAGTTCGACAAATTGAGTAATTTTACTCTCTTGGACATTTTGAGATTGTCGAAATGAGGTGGGACAATGTTCAATGTGCCATTTTGGAGCATTTGTCTAGTGGGATATTTGAGGGCGGAAAATTTTAGGATGGGCCTTTATGGGAATTTATGTTCAGTCACTCATTTTGAGGTTTTGTTAATTGTGAAATTTGGGGGGGGGGGGCGCTTTTTCAATAAGGGCTGAGCGCTATTCTAGGGAATAATTAGTAGGAAGGCAACAGTAATGTAGTGAATAGTAGGCAATAATATCCCCTTCTCTGCGCCGCAGGCGAAAATTTTGAGAATTTTCGTTGTCAAGAGGCTAGATTTCTTCATTTTTTCCCTAAAATTTATGAAAAATCCCAAAATTTTGGTAAAAATATGCAAAAATATTGAAATAATTTGCAAAAAGTGCAAAATATTGAAATAACGGGAAAATTGGCAAAATATTGAAATATATTGAAATACGGGACACGCCCACCTTGTCGCGCGGCCACCTTGTCGCAGAGCCATAACTTGCTAAAAAATTTCTGGCCCTTATCAATTTTGGTACCAATCTCTTTAGCTCGATGAGAGGAATCGTTTAATACTAAAGTTGGTAAGATTCTGAAAACTTGAAGGAAGTTATGGCTCTGCGACAAGGTGGCCGCGCGACAAGGTGGGCCGTACCCTTGAAATACAACTTTGTTCAGAATCATAATATCGAAAAACTAATACCATATTTGGGCTCCTCTCGACAAAGTGTGTTTGCAAAAAAAGATTTATTTCAATAAAAATCCGGACCCTAGTAATAAAACACAAACCAAAAATAATTATTTAAATGATATCATTTTTATTTTTAATTTATTTTTCATTGATTCGTATATTTTTTAAAACTTTTATTTAATGATGTTGATCATAAAAAATATTTTTATTTCGGAAATATTTATATATAAATATACTCAACAATTTCTTAAATTATTTGATTTATTAATAGGCATTTAATATTTTTTTCTAAAATTTTTCCTTTTAAGTTTACATTTTTTAAACAAATTTTAGGTAGAAACAGTAAAAATAAAATTAGTATTTTTTGTTTAAAATTTAATTTAAATATTTCACAAAAAATAAAAGTAATTTTAAATTAAAAAATTTTTAGAGGGATTTTGTTTTTAAAGATAGTTCTGGATCATTAAAGAGAAATATCTTCCAGGTATATGCCAGTTCGCTTTTATTTCTTGATAACAGTTTCGACACACCCCGGATATGTAGATATAAATAAACTTTTTAATATCTCCCTTCCGTCCCTTTTAAATAATTTTCTAAATTTATTTTTAAAAAATTTAAAAATCTGAAATTAATGTACTTAATTAATAATTTTTTTATACTAAAACACAAAATCTCTATATGTATTTTTCTGTCAAATTCCTAATTAACGTTTTCCTTTTAAGTTTACATTTTAAACAAATTTTAGATAGAAACAGTAAAATATACTTTACTAATATTAAATTTAAAAAAGGTAGAAACAGTTTTTGATTTAATATTGTAAATGACATCAAAATTTAATATTTCGTTTTTAATTTTAATTAATCTGTAAACATTTGACTTGATTTGAAAATTCAATGACATGTATAGTTTAAAAAATACATTTAGCTAACTTACAATCTTTTATTTTTAAAATAATATAATATTAAAATATTTTTTTAAATTTAATATTAGTAAAGTATATTTTCAATAAAAAGTATACAATGAATAAACATTTTTTTAATGAAATTGTTCATGTCGAAAATAATTAATTTAAATAATTAATTTTTTATAATTAAATTTTTCCCTAATATTTTTTTAAAATAAATTAACTTTTTTAAAAAAATATTTTTTTTTCTAAAATTAATTCCTTCCGACAATTAAAATATAGCAAAATATTAAATATATTTTAAAGTGCTCCTCTTTTTTAGGGATTTTATTTTAATTCCTCTTTTGTTAAAAAAAACTTTTTTAAACCCTCTATTGTTGTTTATAGGCAAAAAATGTATTTAAATATATCATTAAATATTTAACTTTTTTTGATATAATATTGTAAATGACATCAAATTTAAATAATATATGGTCTCAATTTATTTTTTAATCAACGAAAAAATTACCTTTATTTAAATATCCCTTTGAGTTTTTATCATAATAATATTTTATGCCTTTTCCCTTTTATCTAACTGTTAAATCTTTATTTTTTAACTTTTTTGTTTAATTTTTAAAGAGAATTTTATTTTGACCAATTTAAAAAAGATTTAAAAATGGTCAAAATCAGACCCTTTAAAGGTAAATTAAATATACCCGATTCATCCTCCTCGCCTAATGCCGCAACTTCTTCCAAAGACGCGAAGAAGGAGGCATCTCATGCAGAAGTTAATATTGTTAGTTTATACATATTTTTAAATTAGGTAAATATTTAAATTTATTAAAAGGTTGATCATAAATTGTCACCTGAAGAGTTGACACAAAAATATGGAACGGATTTAGAGAATGTAAGCTAAAGTTTGAAATAAAAGACATAATTGAAAAATATATATTTAAATTGGTATCGTCTCTCTTTATCACTTAGTTTTTCTGCCTTATGAGAGCTGCCCGATCGTTGTAAAATACATATTTTATAGTGTAAATCGATATTAGAGGTCTGTCAGAATTCCAATTTTCTGATATCACCTCCGACAAACTGATTGAGAGAATACCAAAAAATATTTGCATATTTTTCCCTAAATATTTCCTTGTTATTTAAAGGGTCTAACAACAGCTAGGGCAGAAGAATTAATTAAACAATACGGCCCAAATGCTTTGGATCCCCCCAAAACAATACCAGAATGGTTAAAAATATTAAAAACACAATTGAGTGGATTTGCTAAACTTTTATGGGTTGGAGCTTTTCTTTGTGCTGTTGCTTTTGTTGTTGGTTATATTACAGATCCTGTTCCATCTTATGATTATGTTAGTTTAAAATACTAAAGAATTTTACAAGACACTATTAAAAAAATTAATAAGAAAATTAATTTTTATTTAAAAAATATTTTTCTCTTTAGGTTTATTTGGCTGGAGTTCTTGTATTTGTAGTAGTTGTTACTGGACTATTTCAATATTTCCAAGAAAGAAAAAGCTCTAAAATTTTAGAATCCTTTAATACAATGGTGCCTACATTTGCCAATACATACCGAGATGGAAAAAAAGTTGAATTGCCTACAGAAAATTTGGTCTTAGGAGATATTGTTGAAGTTCGCGGAGGCGACAGAATACCTGCTGATTTACGTAAATAATTTTAAAATTGATAGATACGAGACTGAATTTCTTTCAAAAATCCGGATTTTGAGATTGTCCAATCTCTAAAAAATTAATAAAAAAATAAATTTATTTAGGAATATTATCCTCGTCTGGCTTTAAAGTAGACAATTCATCTTTAACTGGGGAATGTGAACCTCTTAGCCGTACAGCAGAATGTACAAAAGATGATCCAATGGAAACTAAAAATCTAGCCTTCTATTCCACCTTTGCAGTGGAAGGATCGGCTAAAGGAATTGTAATTGGAACGGGAAGCAAAACTGTAAAAGAAATAATTGAAATTCAGAAAAATTTAATTTTAAGGCTGTTGGAAAAATTGCACATTTAGCTGCCCATCTCGAACAAGGAAAAACACCCATTGCTATTGGTAAATGATATTTGAAGAAATTTTTTTATAAATTATTCTAAAAAATTTTTTCAAAGAAATTGAACATTTTATTCAACTTGTAACAATTATTGCTGTTACAATTGGTATTATATTCTCTGCAATAGCTATTTTCCTTGGATATACCTGGATTCAAGGAGTTATTTTTCTCATTGGTAAATGCTGAATTTTTTGTAAAATATTTTGTGTAATTTTTATTTTTCAGGAATAATTGTAGCAAATGTACCTGAAGGTGGGAAAGTTTTTTGATAAAATAATGGATTGGGTTTGATTTAATTTTGAGTTAATCTTGGGATTTTTGGAGTAGAATATCGAAGAAATAATTAATGAATCTAGACTTAAATAATTATTGAAAGTCACTTTCTACAAAATAATTTTGTAGAATTAGGAATTTTTAAATCAAAAGTTAGAAGAACAAAAAATATAATTTTAAAGGTATTTTGGCAACAGTAACAGTTTGCCTTTCACTCACAGCTAAACGTATGGCTAGTCGAAATTGTCTAGTTAAAAATTTGGAGGCTGTAGAAACATTAGGTTCTACAACAACAATATGTTCAGACAAGGCGATTTTAAATATATTAAATACTTAAATAATTATTTTATAGACGGGAACTTTAACACAAAATAGAATGACTGTTTCCCATCTTTGGTAAAAATTATTTGAAAAATTAAATTTAAAAATTTGTGATTATTAGGTATGACCGTAATAGCGAAGTTTGTCACGCCCAGTCAATTCCTTCAACACATACACAGGCAAATAAATTTTTCTATTAAAATTTAATCCTTAATTATTATTTAATTACTTTAAGAGAACAATTAATATGTTTACAGCAACTGGTCCGAGAGACGAAGCTTTCTTTGCTTTAATGCGAATTGCAATTTTATGTAATAGAGCTGAATTTAAATTAGCTCAAGTAAATTAATAAATACCTAATATTTAAATCTAAACATTTTTAGACACACATTCCTGTACTTCGTAGGGAGTGTACTGGTGACCCTTCAGGTAAATTGGAAATGTTTTCTGTTGTTCAACTTTTCATATTATTTAATATTGGGTTTACTTTTGGATTTCGTACAATTATTTGATTTTAGGGGTTTTGGTATCTTGATTCAGAATCACTTCCGACTTATAATCACTTCTCATAAATACCTTTTGGTCTTTACAAGGGTCTTTTGAATTTTAATTCAAAGTACTTCCATTATATTATCGCATGATCCCAGACCCAATTTAAGTCTCAAACAAAACCAATGCATAATAATAGTAACAAGTTAACTAGAAAATGGGGAATGAGGACATTATTACAAATATTTTTTAAATAAACATATACATAATTAATTAATTTTTAAAACTTTTAAAGAACAAGCTCTTCTTCGATTTACTGAACTAATGATTGGTTTTTCTTTATTCCAAAATATAACTAAAAATTAAATTTTTTATTAAGGCGATGTTGCAAGTATTCGAAAAAGAAATCCAAAATTGGTAGAAATTCCCTTTAATTCCACAAACAAATTTCAATTGAGTATACACGAAACTGATGATGATAATGATGAATATTTATTAGTTATGAAGGTTATAATTAATTGATAATCTTGTATTTTAATAATTAATTATTTAAAGGGAGCTCCTGAGAGAATAGTAGAAATATGTTCGACAATGCTTGTTGGAAATGAAGAGGTAATAGATAGGAAATACAGCCATAGAGATCCCTTAAGTAAATGAGATCTTTAAAATTGTAAGACGGAAATTCTTATATCCGAATCTTTACTAAAAAATTTTTTAATTAAAAAACTTTTAATTTAAGATTCCATTCGATGAGAGCGTTCGTGAGGACTTTAATCGCGCCTATCTTGAGCTGGGAGGAAAAGGAGAACGTGTTTTGGGATTTGCTGACCTTCGATTGAATAAAAAGGATTTTCCTAGAGGATTTGAATTTAATATAGACGAGGCAATTAAGAATAAATTTTTCTCATTATTAAAGATAATTTCAGGTAAATTTCCCAACTAAAGGTCTCCGTTTCATTGGCCTCTTCTCTCTTATCGACCCTCCAAGAGCATCTGTCCCTTCAGCTGTAGCAAAGGCTAGATCAGCTGGATTAAATGTTGTTATGGTTACAGGGGATCATCCGATCACTGCAAAGGCAATTGCTCGAGCTGTTGGCATTTTGACTGAAAATACTGAAACAATTGAAGATGTCGCTATAAGGAAGGGATGCGATATTAGTGAAGTGGACCCAAAGTAGATTATTTAACTTTATAACTTTCATTATAATTATATTCCAAGTCAGGGGTCAATCGGAATTCCGACGTTTTTTCTTCCGATTTCCGAAAATGTAGGCTGATTTCTGATTTCCGACTTTTGAGCTATTTCCGATTTCCATAGTTCCGATTTTCGGCACCTTCTTGATTTCCAAGCGGCTAAAATTTTTCAAAAATTCAGAGAAGCCTCAGCTATAGTTGTTCATGGCAGTGAATTGAGATTAATGACTAACGAACAACTTGTAGAATTAATTTGTCATCACAAAGAAATAGTTTTTGCTAGAACTTCACCTCAACAAAAACTTCAGATTGTTGAAGCTTTTCAAACTTTAGGGCATATTGTGGCTGTGAGTTTTTTTTTGAAGATTAAATATAAAACTTATATTTCAAAATTATTTTAGGTAACGGGAGATGGTGTAAACGATACTCCCGCATTAAAGAAAGCAGACATTGGAATTGCAATGGGTATTAAATTTATCTTTTAATTAGATGTATTTCTACTCTTAGATTATTTCTTTAATAATTCCCCTCGCCCAAGCGAGATAACTCGTAATAATATTTTTTTAAACAGGCATAGCTGGATCTGATGTAAGCAAACAAGTGGCTGATATGATATTATTAGATGATAACTTTGCGTGAGTTTTATTGCATTTAAATTTTGCTCTCCCCACGTTTCTAAAATTTTTCTTCTATATCTTAACATTTTACATTAAGTAATGCCCCATTTTTCGAGATTACCGTTATACCATATTTATCTGCTAGCTTTATTTTCACACTAATCTGAGTAAACGATAGATATTAAATTGAGGTTTAGTTATTAATTTTCTTGTTTATTCCTTTAAAAACAAATACATTTATTCATTTTAAGTTCAATAATCGTCGGTGTTGAGGAAGGAAGACGTATTTTTGATAATTTTAAAAAGACAGTTTCCTATGTTCTTCGAAAAAATTTAGCAGAATTGGTGCCCTTCCTTGCTTTTATAATTATTGGAGTTCCCCTTCCATTGGGAACTATAACAATGCTTTGTATTGATATTGGAACTGATATTGTTAATTTTTATTTTATTCAAAATGTATTTTAATAATTAAAAGATCCCCTCAATAACTATTGGATATGAAAAAGCAGAATCTGATATTATGTCTAGAGCTCCCAGAAAGAGGACAGACAAATTAGTTAATTTACGTATTTTTGCTATGGCATATTTTCAAATTGGGTTTATCCAAGGTTTGAAAATCTAGAAAAAAATATTTTTGGAATTAATAAAAATATTTGAAGCAATGGCTGGATTTTTTGCTTATTTTTGGATTATGGCAGAAAATGGATTTTTTCCACAGAGATGTGAGTTTGATAATAGTCTTAGACAAATAATAATTAATTTTGAATCTTCAAAAACATTTTTTGATAAATTATAATTAATTTACTATGAAATGAAATAGTACATTTAATTTTGATTTATGACCATTTTTAAACATCCTATAACCGTAAAGTACCAAATAAACAAATATTTTTAAGTAAATTAAATAAATTTCAGTACTTTATCTTCGTTCAAGTTGGGATAACCGATTAATTAACAATTTGGAAGACAGTTATAACCAAGAATGGGTTTATTTAAAAAAGAATTTATTCAAAAATATTTTTCTTAATCTAGACGTATACGAATCGAAAAATTTTGGAAGAAACATGTCAAACAGCATTTTTTATTGCTATTGTAGTTACTCAATGGGCAGATATATTAATTGTCAAAACTAGAAGAAATTCGTAAATATGAAAGTAATTAATTAAAAAAATTATTATTAATTTAGACTTGTCCAACAAGGAATGGATAATTGGCCAATGAATGCAGCTATATTAATTGAAACTGGAATTGCTATGTTTTTAGCTTATACACCTGTTGTAAATGTAGGACTGAAAATGCATGGACTTAAGTAAATATAAAATAATTTTTTTGTTAAATTAATACTAGCAGTAAAAATAATGTGAATAGAATTCACATTAGCTACGTCTCTTTTTTGACTAAATTTAAAACCTTCCCCTTTTAATAAATATTTCCAATTAAAAAAATAAAAATTAAAGATTTGAATGGTGGTTCCCAGCTATTCCTTTTGCTATCTATATTTTCAATTATGATGAGCTTCGACGTTTCTTGATTCGTCGAACGCCCGGAGGATGGACAGAAAAAAATCTTGATTTTTAGTAAAAAGAAAATGAATATTTTAAATTAATTTACTCGAAATATTAAGCATTTAAATATTCTAATCATTTTTTAAATTAAATTTAAAAATCAGAAATTTCTTTGATAATCAAATTGATTATTATGTATAGAATTTAATAATATAAAATAATTAAACATTTTCCCCAAATAATAATTATTTCAGTAAAGTTTCTTTTTGTAAGGAGGAATTTGTCCAGGCTGATTAAGAACATTGGCATAATTTAAAGGTGGCTGGTTTCTTGGAGGACAAGGACAACTGTTAAAAATAAATAAATTTAATTCCCATATAGATAATTTTAAATTTACTATGAAGAATCTCTGCCCGGAGTGCCAGGAAATCCTGGAGGTCCTTGAATTCCAGGGGGAGCTGTTAAAGTTTATTGGAAGATTCGACAAAAAATTGTTTTTATTTTACCTGGAATTCCAGCAATCCCTTGAGGTCCCATCATTCCTGGCGGTCCCATTTGTCCGATTACTGATGACGGCGGCCCTTTAAGGAATTATTTAAGAAATAATCAAAAATAACAAACCTGGATGCCCTTGTGGCCCTTGCTCCCCCGGAGGTCCAGGAAGGCCTTTTGGCCCGGGAAGACCTTAAATATAGATAGATTAGTAAAACTTGTTTATATATTAAATCTAACCTTGTCCTCTTTGACCAGGCAGACCTGGAAAAAGCTAAATAAGTTTAACATTTTTAAATGAAACATACCTGGAGGCCCTCTTGGCCCATCATTCCCTGGAGGTCCTATTTTTGTTTAAAAGTTTAGTTTATTTTAGCTTTTATGATTATTTCAAATCTATTACCTGTTGGTCCAATATCTCCAGTTACTGAATTTAAATTAATTTAATAGGTAAGAATGAGTTACATCCGGGCGGTCCTGGATTTCCATCTTCGCCAAATTGGCCAGGCAATCCTTGCTGTATTTTCACAAAAATAATTATAAATATTAGTTGTTCACCTGTCCAGGCGGTCCTGGACTTCCAACTGGTCCACTTGGACCGGGTGGCCCTTGATGTCCGGCTGGGCATTGAATGCACTCATAAAATACAGACAAGTTATCTTTTATTTATTAAAATGAACATACCTTTAATCCGCTATCATATCCTTGATTTAGGCTATTACCCGATATTCCTGGTCTTCCATCCAAACCTCGAGTACCTGGCTCTATATTTTGTATTAAATTAAACTTGGATGTGTAAACAAACCCCCAGGAATACCAGGTTCGCCTTGAGGACCTGGGGGTCCGGGTGGGCATTTAGATGGAGAACATCCATCTAGATTTAATTAAAAAATATTTTCCTTATCCCAATAAAAACAATGTATTTACCACAATTTATTGATGATTGTTTTCTAGGAATTGCATTATAAGAAGATCCTCCAACATATGCAGCTTTAGCCGGTATAGCAGCCGCATTTTGCCTTTTTTCCCTTGGATTTGGAGAGAAAAAGGAAGAATGAACTAAATTATTATCTAAATTTTTAGAAGGTAATTCATTCATTCCATCCCAAGCTTTAATTGCAATAATCTTAAAATAAACGATTGTTTTTTAATAAAATATTTATATAAAAATATCTTCACCTTAAAATCTTTAACTCCAATAATAATTTCATTTTTAAGTAAATTAATATCGTTAATAATGAATATTGCAGCAATAAAGCTAAATAATATAAGGAGACCACTGCCACTAGATGCAGCTAATATAAATAAACGTGAGCGCCCCATTGTCATGTTTAATAAAAATATGATAAATTTTATTTTAAATTTAATAAATAGAAGGATGGATATTTAGTGGGTAGTCTAGAATCTTTCCAACTTACTAATTCAACTTTTTAATATAAATTAAGATGAATATATATTTTTATATTCTCATCACAGCATGTAATCCAACCCGAAAATAATTGCTTTCAACTACCTGTTCTAATATCTCTTCAGATAGCTTAAAAGAAATAAAAAATGAAAGAAAAAATAAAAATAAACAAGTTAAAAAATATTTTTAAAAATTTTACAAAGATTTTTTTTATTTTAATTGAAAAATATTTATATTTTTAAAAGTTTAATCTGGGTCCGTAAAATAAGACGCGGCAGCGCCGAGTTGACCCTACGCCGCGTGTTTGGCGTCGCCGTTTTTTCTCATTTCTCCCTATTTAGGGAAAAAATCATAACTTTTTTTAAAATAGAGGTAAAAATTTTATTTTTTGCCAAAATGTAGTTTGGAGTGTTGTCTATGATTTGACAAAAAATCAAAAATTTTGACCGGTTTATTTAAAAGTTATGATTTTTCTAGCAAGGTACTACTTTTCTTAAAAAATCACTGAAAAATGAGGTACTTTTTTGAAAAAATTCTCATAAATTGAGTTTTAAAGGGAAAATTCAAAAAATTATGTCAAAAAATAGAGGACACTTCAATCTATTTAAAAATATTAAATTTATAATTTTTCCTTAAAAATTCGCTTTTTAATGATTTTTTAAAAAATCTTCTACCCTGCCCCTTAGCAGGGTAGAAGAAAAGAAGAGGACTTTTCCTCTTTCTTTTCTTCCCTGTTTTTTCGGCGCAGCCATTTCTCTCTTCTTTTTAAATTATAGGGGAAAAGTTGGGCGCTGGTAGGTCACCTAACCAGCAACCACGCTCTTATTTTACCGGCCCTGGTTGTGACAAATGTACCACAAACAGTAAAATTTCTTGTAGAGAATGTTTGCAGTGTAATTTAAAAGAATTTTTTAAGCAAGAATTTTTCAGTTGGACTACCCTGAATTAGAGCCCCACTTCAGAGGATAGTTGAAAAATATAGCCACATGGAGCACTACTTTCGGAAATACGGTATCTTCTGAATTATAATCTTCAAATAATTTCTAGTTGATTTAAATATTCCTTTGCTAATAATTTTCGAATAAACAATTCACACTAAAATTGAACAAAAATATTTTTATTTGAAATTCTCGAAAGTTTTTAAGACGGATTTAGCTTTAATGTAATATTTCTTTTTCTTTTACCTTCTCCATTTCTTTGGCCAAATACATGTTATATCTCCACTTGTCAATTATCTCTTTCCCTCTCTCCCTCTCTATCATTCACTTTCAAAATCCACGTAAAAATTCAATCAGTCAAAAACCAATAAATCTTTTCCCTATAACCTCCTCTCTCCCTCTCCCCCCTCTTCATTTAAATATTACGCAAACATTTATGTAAAATTATAAAAAAATTTAAATGAAACTTTTTATTTTATTTTTTATTTATTTGTTTTTTAAATTAAATTTCCAATTTTGTTTTGCCGAAATTGAAAAGTATGCTTTTGAGAGAAAATTAAACAATGGTTATTTCTATATTATTTTTGTTAATGTTTTAGATTATTTATTGGATACTTAGGAAAGATTTAATTAATAATGGTTTCGTAATAATTTTTTAACATAACAAAATAACTAATTCAAAATAAAATTCATCAAGGAAAGAGATCTTACCTAAAATATGGGTGCCTTTATAATAATGCTACAAACTGTATATAAGCTCTCAGGATTAGGGTTGAGGGATCGGGATTGAGCGGGACCCGGCTTTTCGAATCCCGATTTTATGTCGGGATCTCGATCCCGCTCAAGACTAAATTAAAATAATGTATAAAGAAAAGTAACAAGGGAGGGGTGGTTCTAATGTGTCTCTAGTAACTCAAGGCACTTTCAAGAACAACAACCCTAAATTAATTAATTTTAATATTAAACAGATAAAAGCCCAGACTTCCTTCTTCTCAAATTTTTGTCACATCCAGAACATTTTATTTTTCCCGAACAAAACTCATTTTACAACAAAACAGATTTAATTTATGCTGTTGGGGGGTTTGCAGATTCTTCTATTAAATTTGAGGATCTTCGAGAGCAAATAAAAGAGCGTTGGGAACAGATTGGGGGTGAACAAACACAAATAGTTACATTAATGAGTGGAATGGGAAAAATGTTTGAAGAAGCTAAATTAGAAATTACGGAGAAATTACGTGCTACTTTACTTGTTTTATATTCTTTGGGATGTAAAATATTAGAAGGAAAAATTGGTTATAGTTTTTATTTTAAAAATAATTTCCACTTCCCACTTTAAGAATCTCAGTCCCAGTCCTAATAATTTAATTACGCCCTAAAGAACGAAAATATTCAGAAAATTACGAAATTTATGAAACACAAGACGAAAATTTTCTTTCAACTTTGAACATAGATCTGCATTTTTTAGTGTTCCCCATTCAGTTTTTGCTTTTTATTTTTCTCATTTTTTTAAAAAAGTTGATAGACAAAACGGAATTTGTAATTAAAATATTTTATATAATTTAATTTAAAGAATCTGGCTACGATGTGATTTTCGAAACTGACAAAATTTTTGCATACGGTTTGAATGATAATTTTAAAAAGGTTTAACAATTACTCGAAAAACAAAAAATAATTCTCTTTAATAAATTTTTAGGTTCTAAAAGTTTTATCAGGCTTAAATCCGGCAAAAGATACTCCTTTAAATGAATTAGTTGAGAATGCAGAATTACTTGATAAACTTGCTGGTATTGGTTCTAAAGTTGAAATTAAATATCCGAAATCAAGTAATCAACCTATAAATTTTGCTTTAATGATTGATAATGTGGGAGATGCTGAGAAAATGTCTGGACAATTATTGTCAGAAATTATTGATAAAATTATGTATGAAGGTAAGCAATCAGACCTTACTTGAACTATACCCAAAAATAGATAACGTAATTCCTCTAAGATAGCCCCCCTCCAAAATAAGCCCCCTGTAGATATCGATTGAAAAAAATAAGCCCCGGGGTTTATTTCAGAAAATTTACACTATACCACAATTTATGATATGTTTAAAATTTGGGTGAACTTTAACTTAAAAAAGCAATTTTGGAGAGGGGGGGGGGATGACAATATTTTGGTTAAATTTTGGGAAAATTTGATAAAAAAATTCCGGAAATTAGAAGAAAAAAGAATCCCGACCTACTACCTCACTTTAGCTACAAGAGTGTATTTAAATTTGAATTTTTATTTGCCAAACTCTAATTATAATTAAACGCCAAAAAAAAATTTTTTAATTTCAAGTTGTTGGAAATGAAGGTGGTTGGGGATATGTTAAATCTGAGAATGATGAAATAAACAAAATTAGTAAAGAAGAATTAGTAATTAATCAAGAAATAGAAAAGAGTGACGAAACTATTTTTGATGAAAATAAAGAGAGAATAGCAGTTGAAGATTCTAAAAGTGACAATATTCTGGTTAAAATTTGGAAATATTTTACAAATGTTTGGACAAAATTCATACATTTCTTTTTTTAACAATATAAAAAATGGAATTTGAGAGATTGAAAAGAAAAAACTAATTGAAGGAAAGACAATTTTTGAGTTTTTATTTTTAAGATTTTATGACATATGATATATTTGTATTGGAGCTGGATTAGGGTTTTTTCCATCCTACAGAATTTCCGGATATCCGGAACAGGGCATGCGCCGAAATTTTTACGTGAAACGCCAGACGCTAAACGCCAATTTTCCAAATTCTTAAAACACGCCAAACGTCATGACGCTCAGCCCTGATCCGGATTTTTTCGTATAACGGATAAGGATCCAACAACTCTAATTTTTATAACATTTGTAAGAACCTTTCAATTTTTTTTTCATTTAACAAAAATCTGTATTATTTTTAATTATTCTCTCGTAAAATTGTTAAAACAACCCAGAAAGTTTTTAAATTTATAATTTTTTAAATTTTCTTTGAAATTGTCAAAACTTTTTAACCTGGTCCTAATTTCTAGAATACTATTTTAATTTTTTTGCTTTTTCTAATTTTCTATATTTAAATATCGTTATATAAAAATTTCAAGCTTTTTTAAATTAACATCTGTAATTAAAATTTGAATTTTTCTAGAAATACATATTATTACGTCTATATACAAATTAAATTAATTTTAGCTCAAAAACCTTTTTTTGAAACAATTTCCAAAAAAAAATGTTAAAATTACATTTATTATTAACGCAATTTTTTAGATAAAATAATTATTTCCAAATTAAACACGAAAAACAAAAATTTACTATTATAATTTAACATTTTAACAAACCAAATATTGAAAATAAGTTAGTACTAATTAGTCTAGTGTTTATCAGCTCCCCAGCAAACTTCTTTCATATAACCAAAAAAATAAAAATTTTAAAATAATAATTTTAGTCAAACATTTTTTTAAATTATTTTAATTGTTTAACCAGATAATTATTTAATTTAACAATTATATTTTAAAATATTAATGAACTAAAATTTTATTTAAAATTTAAATAGAACTAAAATAAATGTTTATTTTTGACGTATTTTCTTTGTTATTTTTTCTGAATAATTTTTAATTTTATTTTTAACCAAAAATTTCCCAAACCCCCCAAAAATAACCTTATTTTTCCTTTCTAATATAAACTCTCTCACACAAAACTACTAAACAAAAAAATATTAAATTCATTGACGTAATCTTTAATGAGATAAACAAACGTTGTTAAATTTATTTATGCCGCGAAAGAAATTTTTTTTTATTATTATTTACATATAATTATTGAATTTGTTTGGCATTTGTTTGTATTGACTAAAAATTTAATTTAAATTTATATTAGAAAAATATTTAAAAAAAAGTTGTGCTTTTTTAATAGTCTACAACATATATTCTAAAATACAAATTCTTACAATAAACTTCAAAAATAAAAGCTTTGTTTAATGTAAAAGAATTCACTCTCATTCCTAAGTGTTTTGATATAAATTATTTTGCAAAAATTAGTTTTTGACAGAAAATTTGTTTACCCAAGACCCAGTAGCCGGAGGTCCCGAAATCAGTAGGGTAACTGTTCGTACGTTAAAATTTCCCGCTATGTTCGCGTGTCGTTGTTTTTCAGAAATAATTCATTGGGAAGTGGAATTAAAAAATCAAGAGCAACTAGAGTTGTACCCCGACCCCGTACCCCGAACCCCGACCCCGTTCCCGAACGATTTTTTCACGATTCTCCCCGACCCGAACCCCGCCCCGAAACATTTCGAAAACCCCGTACCCCGACCATAAAAGTTTCGGGGTTATCGGGGTTTTATACACCCAAAAAATGCCATTTTTGTGAGAATTTTAAGAGAAAAATTTTAAAAATTTCCTCACAATTTACTTTGCCTTTATTATTTTTGAAAGAAAAATGAATGAAATATCAAGATTTTCTTTCATTCTTAATTAAGAGACTTGTGGTTGAGTGGCTTAGTTGTTGGTTTTAGCCTATATTTCCATTAATATAGGATTGGGTTCGGATCCATATAAGGAGAACTCTTTTGTTTTTATATTTCTTTACAAAAACAAATTATTAACGAGTTAAATTTTAATTTTAAAATATTAATTTTATTTTTAACTGATATCCCTTGAACGACCCTTAATCCTTCAAACCCCTTGTATCACCAGTAAGGGGTTCCCAACCATAACAGTTGGAAAACTATCGAGGTCCTGTTAACGGGAATCAGAGATATAAAGGAATTTGTAGTATATCGAAGAATTAAGGAGTTATAAAGGGATTTAAAGGGATATAAGGTTTAGATTAAAATGGATTTGAAAGAATTACGTGAATTTAACGGAATTAACAAGGATTAATCCAAGATATCTCCTGATATCCGTCCAAATACCCTTATCCGCAATACTTCAATATTCTTATTAATCACTGATATCCCTTGAAACAACAAAAATCACTCCAGATCACCTTGCACCCCTAGATATACCATTTAATCCCTAAAAATCCCGCTTAATCCCTCCATATCCACTTATATCCCAAGTTATAAACTTTAATCCCTTCAAATCCCCTCTAATTTCTCCAAATTCTACTTAATTTTTGAATAAATTAGCGAAAATATACCGAGATCTGATTATTTTTGAGCATTTTTTTCTCTAAAAATTTTTTCCCTAAAACCCCGTACCCCGACCCGAACCCCGGTCATATTTTGCTCCCCCGACCCGAACCCCGCCCCGAAACAATTGGAAAACCCCGTACCCCGACATACCCGCCCCCGAACGTTCGGGGTACAACCCTAAGAGCAACTCCAACATTGTCACAATCCATCTTAAAGTTTCTTTTTATTTAATAAAATACTTTCTGTAAATTGTCTGCTAATTTTTGTAATAATTTAATTTTTATTTTACATTTGATTATTTTTTATAAAAAAATCCATTATTTAATAAATTCTTAAATAATTTTAACTCAATTTCAAATTAGTTTTAAATTTTATTTCTAAGAAAATAAGACGTGTGAAATTTTTAATTTTTTTATTTAATTGGTATTTTCTGTCCTTAATTAATTTTTTATAGTTAATTAATTATATATGTCTAGATTTTAAATATAAATTTTGTATTTTTTAAAATTGAAATTATTTGAAATATTTACCAAAAAGCTTTCATTTTTTTTCGAAAATTCTGTCTTTTTTCTCTTTTTTTGTGTTTATATTTATTAAATTTGGTTGGACATGTGAGGAACTACCGAACTTAAAAGCCCACCACTATTGTGTATTCTCGATTATTTCTATAATTTTTCTGTTTCAATTGTTTAAACATACATATATATTAGGGTTGTACCCCGAACGTTCGGGGGCGGGTATGTCGGGGTACGGGGTTTTCCAATTGTTTCGGGGCGGGGTTCGGGTCGGGGGAGCAAAATATGACCGGGGTTCGGGTCGGGGTACGGGGTTTTAGGGAAAAAATTTTTAGAGAAAAAAATGCTCAAAAATAATCAGATCTCGGTATATTTTCGCTAATTTATTCAAAAATTAAGTAGAATTTGGAGAAATTAGAGGGGATTTGAAGGGATTAAAGTTTATAACTTGGGATATAAGTGGATATGGAGGGATTAAGCGGGATTTTTAGGGATTAAATGGTATATCTAGGGGTGCAAGGTGATCTGGAGTGATTTTTGTTGTTTCAAGGGATATCAGTGATTAATAAGAATATTGAAGTATTGCGGATAAGGGTATTTGGACGGATATCAGGAGATATCTTGGATTAATCCTTGTTAATTCCGTTAAATTCACGTAATTCTTTCAAATCCATTTTAATCTAAACCTTATATCCCTTTAAATCCCTTTATAACTCCTTAATTCTTCGATATACTACAAATTCCTTTATATCTCTGATTCCCGTTAACAGGACCTCGATAGTTTTCCAACTGTTATGGTTGGGAACCCCTTACTGGTGATACAAGGGGTTTGAAGGATTAAGGGTCGTTCAAGGGATATCAGTTAAAAATAAAATTAATATTTTAAAATTAAAATTTAACTCGTTAATAATTTGTTTTTGTAAAGAAATATAAAAACAAAAGAGTTCTCCTTATATGGATCCGAACCCAATCCTATATTAATGGAAATATAGGCTAAAACCAACAACTAAGCCACTCAACCACAAGTCTCTTAATTAAGAATGAAAGAAAATTTTGATATTTCATTCATTTTTCTTTCAAAAATAATAAAGGCAAAGTAAATTGTGAGGAAATTTTTAAAATTTTTCTCTTAAAATTCTCACAAAAATGGCATTTTTTGGGTGTATAAAACCCCGATAACCCCGAAACTTTTATGGTCGGGGTACGGGGTTTTCGAAATGTTTCGGGGCGGGGTTCGGGTCGGGGAGAATCGTGAAAAAATCGTTCGGGAACGGGGTCGGGGTTCGGGGTACGGGGTCGGGGTACAACT